ATACTGGGCACAGGGCACGGGGCATGAGGATACGGGGCTGCGAGTCACGTACATAGGGGCTGAGTCACAAGGCGACTCATGTAGTCCATCCACATCAGGTGAGGCGTATACTAATAACACTAGTCCGATCTTACCGTTACTCGGGGTCATCCAACTCCATCGGGTCATCCGCGTGGCTGATATCCCCGTCGATCGAAGGGGGGAAGTCCCAGGGCCGAGGGGACGGTAACACACAAGCTTGTTGAGGGTGGTCTTGTCACCAGGATCATTCTCGACCCAAACTCGTGGGACGAGCATTGCAAGGCACATACAATCGTGTCACTCGGCAACCTGTCCCCGAGCTCTAGATCAGTGAACCCAAGTGTTTCGGTGATGAGGTTCATACCAATGTGTGGGGGCCAGTCCCAGTGGCCACTCAATGTGGCCGACGCTATTTTGTCACCTTCTGAGTCTCTGACAAAGCAGCACAATTTATGCTCACCTTTCTCCTTGCTAAGATTGATGCATTCCTGGCCGATGTTTTGATGACATCCTCCCCATTGTCCTCCGAGGTCCTGGCTTCTTGTTCACATTGAGGGCCAGATTTTGTGTTATGGAGTCGCCTAAGCACCCTGTTTAGATGCCCCAATTTGCTTTTTCCTCTAAGTCAACTCTTTAGACGCCAAGTCATATAGACGCCTAATCACATGCACTCATCACATGTATCCTCACGTGACACATCATGTGCAGTCTCCACGTGACTTGTGACTTAGTCGTTTCAGCAAGTGTCTGAGTCCCAGCCTCAGCCACCCCCTGTCTCTAATAGGAAGGTACCCTTTCCCACGCTTCTCTCCTGTGCTGCAAAGCAACCCCAGATCATTGCACAGTTCCACAGTCCGTAGTACGCAGTTCTGTAGCTCTGTAGTAATCCGTAGTTTACCGCAGTAATGTACTACGCATTGCACAGTCATTGCTATGCAATGCACAGTCAATGCACAGCCCCCAATCATGTATATAAGGACGTAGATACAGGCCAAGTAGCCTCAGACTTGGTCTCTTGTATAGAACCACAAATCCCTCCCCAGATTCCCTCAAAAGCCCTCACTTTCATCGTGTGTTTCCATATGCGTTAAATCGAGACCTTAAACTCTCATCTCATAACTGTTATGAATGTACTGCTTCTACAAGAGCAATACAACATATCAGGGGTTCTTGAGTGGACTTGGGCGTGATGATGCTAAGGGTGACCTTGAAGACGAGGAGAAAGCGCACTAGGAATGGCTTAGAGGCAATGGCAGGCAAGGGAGTACGTCGAACAAGGCAGAAAAGCCAAGTGGACAATCTAAGGATTGTCTTTGCATTTCATGGGTCTTATATACTGTAGGGACAGGGTGTTACATAAGCGACAGTGGGCTGGTTAATCTAACCATAAGCAGACATGACATGATCGATTGCACAATAATGTCCATGCACAGAATGCTCTAGAAGGGTTAATTATAGCCATCCAATGGCAATAACCCGCAGACATGGTCCGTGTGTTTCTGCAGTAATCTGTGAGGTTCCATGGTATTCCAGCCAATGGCAGAACTCCCTCCAGGAGTATCGTTGTTCTGGTAGACTTCTATGGGCTTCGATTGTCTTCTAGCCAATTGTACGTGTCTTCAGGCTTGAGGTCATATACTAGGTCATGTGCATTGTCATGTGACCAATCATGTGTTACTAGTGTGATGTATTGCGTGACTTGTCACATGTGACTCGAGGGTGTGACAAGGTGTGACAGGGTAACATTAGATTCCCACGGTCACATGTCTTGGGATTTCGCGTTCCACCACCACGGTTCATGACAATAACAAACTAGTTGCAGCAACTAGCTTTTGCATAACGTACCTTGCAGACTTCGAGATACAATCTACAAAGTAGACTCTTGTTAAATCGAGACCCACTATTCATAGAACAGCAGAGCACCTGATTCTCTTCTTTCCAGGCACTTCATAGCACCATGCAAAGTCCGAGCATAACATTTTGTGCTAGGGAGGCAGAGGGTTGGTAAGAGAGCAGGTGGTGGAAGCTGTATACCTTGTGCCCTGCTACACGGCCCTCCTGTCACCTCCCCGACATTCTCTGAAGTTCTTTTCATTGTGGAGAGGGTGTTGGATCGGGTCCTGGATTCTCGTTCGTGTTGGAAGCCAGATTTCATGCTAGCAGGGCAGTGGGGTTAGTAGGAAGGTAGGTGGCAGCCATGTACCTCGTGCCCTGTTGCACAGGCTTCCCATCACCTTCCCACCATCCTCCCGGGTCCTCACCATTGTGGAGAGGGCATGGGGTCATGCCCTGACCTCTTGATGCGGGCCAGATTTCGTGCTACAGAGGCAGTGGGGTCAGTGGGAAAGCAGATGGCAGGCCACGGCACATGACTCTGTAGAATTAATCAAACCATTCTGTGTAGGCCTTTCTGAGCTAGCTTCAATGTCACCAGCATGTCACTCCACCGTGATTGTGAATGAGGGATGTTGGATCGGGTTTGACACCGAGTCGCTTGGCCACTGTGTGTACTGGGCTGCGGATAGGACTGTCAGCATCGAGCACAAAGTCAATGGGAAAACCGAATTAGCACCTCACCAGAGATACCAAGTCGGGTCAATTTTTTTTGCTGAATCCTCTGTTATCCATTCTAATGAGCGACATCAGCTCAAGAGATAAAGCAAGGAAAGACTAACTCATATCTAATCATAATCCAGCTCAGGTAGTGGGTAGTGAGACATCTGCTAGGATGTGAACACATACATCCCAGTTGCAAAAGGTTGGAAAGGTAACTAAACAGTTGGTGTGTTCGAGTTGGCGTCGCATCAACATTTACATCACATGACCATTGAAAACCACATCCAAATTTTCCATGTAGTTGGCCATATATATCACATTTCATGTTCCAGTGACGATACTGCACAGTTACAGTACTGCACTTGCTGCCAGCTATGTGGTTCACAGATAAGACAGCACATGCCGGAGTGAGTCTCCCTCTCCCTCTTCCTCGCCCCAAACAACTGACGCCCTCGACACCCATGAAGGACACCTCATCGCCACCCCATCCCTCGTCTCAAACATGGGTCGGAGGGACTTTTGTTGTCTACGCCAATGTCTTTGCCAGGTTTGCCCGTGCCTTCGTTTATGCCCTCACCCGCACAGCTGTGAATGCACCTCAGGTATGTAATCTCCACCGACAAACATTTCATCTTTGCTGATGGTTTATGCCCTCGACACTGCTCTCATGACTCACACGCATGTCCCTGCCATCGACACCCACACCCATGCCCTCCATGCCCACGATGCTCACGCCCAATGCAATACAAAATTTTTGTCGCCACTCACTGGTTGTGTTCACCTTGTTCCTCACATAGCATATAATAGGTTCTCCATGTCGTTCCACCTCTGTGGCAGTTAGTGGCATATTGATGTAGACATTTCTCCTTTTCCCAGTAATTTGAACACCTTGAGAATCCTCGACAACACACAGCTGATGCACACACGCATGCAGGATGCCTCGTACACCCTCTATGCATACATGCACGCAGGATGCTTACCTGCACAGGCTGTATGAAGGACGAGTCGTGTTTGACGTGTCAATGCACCCCCTCGACACATGCACACACATGCAAGATGCCTCGTGCATTGACACACACTGCACACCAGATGCCTCATGCATCTTTGATGCACACCTTTGAGGGTTCAACACGCGTATTCGGGGGTTCAATACACGTGTGTCAAGGGTTCAACATGCATGTTTGAGGGATCAAGCTATCAAGCTTCAAGCTTCAAGATGTGCACGTCGAGGTTTCACACCCATGCATTCGAGGGTTCAATGTTCAACACCCACAGAGTCAAGGGTTCAACGTTCAATGCCTGCACATTCGAGTTTAGTGCACACCCACAGGCCATGTTCGAGGGTTCAACATTTGACATTCAACACATGCATGCATTCGATGGTTCGACACACAGCACATGCTTATGGTTGTAGAATGAATGTACAGACTTTAGAATTAGTTGTTGTAGTTAGTTACAATACCTAATACTATAGATTTAAACCTTGAGCAGTACCTGTGAGGGAACCCCAACCGGTCAATACCTGGAGTCCTGCACAGATAAAACCCTGTTTGAGCATTCAGAACCCGAGCAGGAGAGCCCATGAAGTACTATAAGTCCCAAAACTGCTGGAACTCTCTAAAGACTCCTGCGATCATTTAAAGTCCTTATGCATAAGCCAAAGTCAGATATAAAAAAGCCAAAGTCCTTGGAATTGAAAGCAGAAGTACTGAAAAGTGCGGAAAGTACCTAAACCCCAAGTCAAAGTCCTTAACCCCAAAGCTAAGTGCATGTAGTTTCCCTGATGTGCATCAGTCTAGTAACACATAACAATTGATTCTAGGCATGAATACTGGGCGAACTGTGCTAGTAGCTAACACAAGAGCTAACAGGTACTTCTTGGTACTACCACCAAGATGGAGATGGGGAAATGCTGTTGGCTGTCCAAATTCCCGGAACACCGCGGCACCACCTGCATCCCAGGTTTAGGGTTAGCCGTCATTTAGTCTCAACTGATGATTTTGTTCACGTCAATATCACTACAGAATTTGGTGCAAATGTAGGGTCGAGATCATTGTTAATATTGTTGCAGGTGCTAACGGTGCTTATGAGTCTGTTTGAGAACCAAAACCCGGCATTTCTCCCATATTCTCCGTTCCGTGGCCGTGCGAGTCTCGGAGTCCGACTAGTATTTGTATTAGTTCTGAGGACCATCAATTTGTGTAGGCCGAAGGAACCCACTAGGTCGTGATCGGCAACTATCAAGTCGAGGGGTAAGGACTATTTAGAGACTCACAGGTCCGTCACTTGTGGTCGTCTCGTCGTTCTCTTCAGTAATGGCCATTAATAGCTTGACATCATGTGGTGTGCGGAGTCCATGCCAGTGGCATGGTAGCATGGTCAGGGTCTAGTAGTAAGCCGAAGTCGGTTCGTTGGTACTAATCGCCCGCCTAGCTCAATCGGATAGAGCGTCAGACTCTTATGGCATGCTTCTTCGATTGCTTAGTCGCATCATGGCTGCGATATGAAGATCTGAAGGTTGCGAGTTCGACCCTCGCGGTGGGCTAGTCCTTTGATTTTTGCGGGTTTTGCATCAATGACGACTGCTCCTAAATCCACTGAGAAAGACGCAAGCATCAGAAGGGTCTTGTGAATATCCTTCACCGTCCCGACCTTGACAGTGTCACAGTGCTCTAAAACTCTGGGCACTCGACTACCTCTTCGACAACGTAATCTCGCTCAACGACCCCCCTGGATCTGATGTTTTTTTGGTTGTGAAAATTCAAGTTCTCCAGTGGTATTCCGCCTTGATCAAGGAGGTTACTTCGCACAAGGGCCCTTGGAAGTTACCATGGATCTGCGCTCTGTTCCGATCAAGGAGGATGGGGCGCACATACGGATTACGCCTGCCACCTTCTTTGATAATGCTTTTGTTGGAATCACCAAAAATTCTCAATCGACAAATGTCTCAGGCCCACTGCTGTCACGTGATGAGTTTGGAAACATCCTGAGATGGCATCTCTCGGAGCGCCTTCGCACCCGCCTTCGCACCCGCATAACGGTCGATCGTATTTCTCCATGTCCACGCATGTGTCTAGTTCGCTACCCACGAGAGTTGTCACGAAAGTTTGGCTGACTCCCACCAACTCTGCAACAGCATGTTCAACCAGCGGGTTCGGTTTCACTTGCTGCGCATCATGATTCTCGACGATCTTTATTCCAAAAGCCAAGTTGACAAGCTCTCTTCTCGGATAAGTAACCAGAGGTACGTACTATCGTTACCCTTATTCCACCCTTCCCGTTCGAAATCGATTCTCATGCCTCACTCCCTAGACAGCTGCTAGACGCGCTCGAGGGTGCCTTAAAGCCTCCAGGTCTACTCACAGATTCAAAGTATGCGCTGAAAGGAGACTTGATTCCTGAGGCCGCTTCTGTACGGCTAAGCGATGGGCACTTGACGCCTTAATTGCTCTGGGTCGTCCCAAAGGCGAACTTCAGCCCGAATTTGCTGCTGTCTCCTACTCGGAGGCCATCGAAGGGATGAAGAATGGATGGGAAAAGAAGGCGAACATGGAGAGCATCAGAAGTGCAGTTTCAAGGGCGACGCACCTGCTCGGACTCTTATTGGATCCCCCCGACTTGCGTGGGATGGCCTCACTCTTTATAGGGGCCCCAAATTTTCATGCGCGTGTTTTTATTATTAGGAGAGGACCCGTATGAGAAGAGTGCGCCTGTAACTGCGGTGCAACCTGGATTGAACATGTTTTTTCCTGCTCACATTTGGCACACAACGTGAAAAAAAGCAGAAAGATTGAGCATATAAGCGGCGTACCCGCCCCTATCGACCCCTATATAGCCCAGCCAACATCAGCGCAGCGATGCACTCCCCAATTGATCCAAATCATGGATGACATGATATCTGCTCGTCTTTCTATCCATGCGAGGCTTTGTGGCCTCACCGAAATGCGCTCTTCCTCCTTCTTTTCCCTCAAAATTTACGCATTCTTTCCCGGACACGTACCGCCGTTTCTTCAATAAGGAGCAAGGTTCCTCATGGAGGACACCGAGACCGAGTGCGATAAATAGGGTGGTATTGGCGCGCGTCGGTGCCTGTGGTCAAGTCGGAGCCGAGGTTCGATGCCTGTGTGAAGGACCGCATGCTCTCGTCAGGCCTATAACAGTCGATGACTTTTCTCTCTCCTTGCCTTGAATGCTTTGAGGAAGGAATGAAAAGAGTGAGACTAACACGCACATCAACCGGACGACGTGAGAATGGCCTATGCCTTCGACGATGTCTCTAACGACGTTCTGTTTTAGACAAGAAGTGAGCACTGGTGAGCGTTTATTGGATGACAAGGTTTTGTTTCTCACCTGAAAAGGGATAAAACCGCTCCAGACTCGATACATTAATTACGCCAAGGGCCAACCATGTTGTCAAAGGGATTTGCTCGCCATGTTTATTTCTCAGCCGGTTTAGGAGCCTTCGCCATTGATGCAAAAACCGCGAAAATTAGAAGGACCAGCCCACCGCGAGGGTCAAACCCGCAGCCTTCAGATCGCTGTCATGACGCGACTAAGCATCCGCCATGAGAGTCTGACGCTCTATGCGATTGAGCTAGGCGGGCTGTTGGGAATAAACCAAATTAGGATTACCAGACTCTGCGCTCCCCACACTGCGGCTTGGGAGCATTGCCACCAAAAGTAAGAAGTGGCCGTGCCACTAGCAAGGACTCCGCACACCTACGTCTCAGGCTATTAATTGAGGAGAACAACGAGACGCACCTCTCCGAGTCTAAATCTCCCGTATATTATCGACATGACGCGTATGGCTGGTGAGGCTGCCTATGCCACTAAAATGGCCGTATCTCAATGTAATACCCGCGAGGGTATTTACTGTAATTCTCTTCATGCCACAGGGAATCCTTCCCCTGTATCCACCCTCATGAATGGTGCGCACGACTCGACGCCACGTTTTTGCGGGTTACTTGATGCACGACAAGTTCGTTTCTGCGGCCCTTGCAAGAATTCAGAGACTGATATTATTGTCACTAGCGAAGGATTGATGGGAGAGATGACATGAGGGAAGGAACACGATAATCTCCAGCAACGTGCAGGTCGACAGCCTCTGGAGACTGTATGTTGTGGCGTAGAGAAGGCGGAGCACCTTAAGTTGGCAACGCGGCGCCAGTAGGGCGCGTCACGTGTGGGTGACGTCACACACTGACATCACTACGCTACAGCGTCGTTTCCTACACCCGACTATGACCCCCTAATACGAATCAATCTTGCCCTCAGCTTAGGGGAACCGTCCTTTCTGACGGCACACCAATCATGTCAACAGCCAGTGTCTCTGCCTCACTTGACTCCCTCGTGAAAATTCCAGAACGGTTTGAAAAATGGCAGAGGCTCGATGACAGCGAACCATTTGCTCAATTACACAGAAATTTTTGGGAAAGAGTATGGCCGAGGAGGAGAAAGCATGGCACGAGCAACAGTCGATTTCTGATCCCAGTAGCAACAATCAGAGCCCGGAGGAGAAATCGGGTGAGAATACCCTCGAGAGCAAAGATGATGACATTACGCCAGGTTGCTATGTCCTGGACATCGACAACGAACTCATTGGTATTAAAAGAATCTGGGTCCGCGTGAGTCCATTTACAATGGGTGAAATTAACATTGTCTTCACAAACTTATTAGGCAGAATATATCCGCATCTATGACTTTCTTGTGGAATACTACGAGGAAATACATAAACGGGATTTTCCTGGCTCCAGCAGCTGTTCTCACAGGACAACCAGGCATAGGTGACTACCTAGATGACTGTAATCAAATAAAAAATAACCCCTAACTTTCTATACAGGGAAGAGCATATGGTTGCTCTATGCATTGCTCAGGTGCCTTGCAGAGAAAAGGCCTGTCATTTGGGGCAGCAAGTCAGCACCTCAC